AGGTTTCGGCTTCTTTGCGCTATCTTCTGTGGAGGAGGCAGTTGGTGTGTGGCAGTTTCGGCAGAGTCCGTCAGGTCCAGGGGCGTGCAGGTCAACTTCCTTTGGGTGAGCGTGGTGCTTGACCCAGGGGCGGCCGTTAGGGTGAGTTGGCTTGTGTGACCGTGCCATGTCTTGAGGTAGGAGATCGATGAGATCTCCTGAGTCGGCGCTGCAGTCGGGGATGTCAAAGTCGAGGATGTAGGCGCCATCTTCGGAGTGGGCTCTTCCGATGTATCGTGGTGTGCTGTTTGGTGTGTTATAGTCCTTCAAGTGCATGATGATGTCGCGAGTCTCGGGGTCAGTGTGCATGAGTACTCCGCTTTGGACGAGTTGGTCGTAGGAGAGCAAGTTGTACTGTAGGTCGCGCACGATGAGGACGTCGTTGAGCGTGATTTGGATGTTGCTGTCGCGGGCTTTGAGAACGACAATGCCGCATGCTCGCGCGTGGAGCTGCTGCGCGTTGGCCACGGTGATGATGGTTGATTTTCGGATGGGGTATGCATTGGAGATGTAGCGTTTGGAGCCGACCATGTGTTGTCCGCAGCAGCTGTCGAGGAACCATGTGTTGTGGCAATTTCCGCGACGTTGCGCCGAGAGCGGGAGGTTCGGGGTGTTGCGGAATGGAATGCGTTTGTCGCCGGCAGCGAGGTAATTGTCAAGGGGACGAGTGTCTATGTGGTGGCCGAAATAGTAGGATGTGATTGACGGTGAGTTGAGGAAATCCTCGTCGTGGGGCGGTGACTCTAGCAGCGGTGTCGGCAAGTTCCAGTCTTGCTCGTTTTCGTCGAAAACAAACTTTCCATCTTGTGTGAACGGATTGTTGTAGGTGTTGAACTGAACCTCTTGTCCAGGCGGAGGGGGAGAGACGTAGCAGTGATGTTGCCGATTAGTGCGCCGTGTGCGACGGTGAACGCGCATCGCCATGTTGCCCATGACGTGGCGGGTAGTATTGTTCTGTGGTGGCCGCTGTGAGTCTGGTTGATTTGGTTGGCGCGGGGCGAACCGATGGTCCGAGGACCATGAGTTGGCCTGGCGCGAATGGTCAGGAGCATATGCACAGTTATTGCACGGCGCGGAATTGGAGCGTGGTCCGGATCGGCATCGTTCGGTGGAGTGACCGAAGGCTTTGCAGTTCTTGCAGTAGTATTGCCGAGATCGTGTGTCGCGATTCCTTCGATGGTCGCGACCGGAGTAAAAGGCGATTTGTTCGCGGCGCGTCCCTTTTTCTTGATTGAAGTCCATGTCACGCTGTTCGTGCAGCAGAGTGGCACATAGGTGTGCATTAGAGATTTTGCCCTGTTGGCGAAGCAGGGCTTTGAAGGGATTCTAGTGGGGACCGAGTCCTCGGAGGACGATGGTTACGAACATGTCCTCGGAGATGGTGTTACCCAACTTCAGAAGTTGATCGCGGACACTGCGGTAGCGATTGATGTAAGTGTTTGCCTTCTCGCCAGGTGCCATTTTTACTTCCATGAGTTCCTGAACCACGCGGCTGGATGAGACAAAGTCCTTGGGTTGATAAGTCTTGTTGAGGTAGTTCTAGGCGGCGAGGGCAGGGGCTGGGTGAGTCTTGTAGGGGCGTATGCCAACTTGTTCGGCCGGCGCCATGTTCCAAAGGAGGACGCTATACGCCATGAGCGATTCGTTGTAGTACTGTGCTTTTGCGTCGTCGAAGTCACTGGTGGGGCCAGCGTAGCTTCCGTCGAAGTAGCAAAAGATTTCTGCGTTTTGCAGGAGTAGCTCGAGCTCAAAGCTCCAGGTGTAGAAGTCACGTCCGCTAAACACGGTGCTGGTGCGGATCTTGGAGATAGTCAGAAACTTGTTCTGAGCTGCGAGCACGGCTTCGTCACATGGACGAGGAGCAGTTGGAGCAGAGGAGTTTGACCCGAGGTCGAAAGTGGTTGGGCTCGGTTCCTTGACTGGAGCGGCCGGTTGCTCGGGTTGTTGCGTGGTTGCTGGGTTGTCATTCTTCAATTGTTGAATTCCAGATTCAAGCGTGGTGATTTGCTGGATGAGTTGCTCCAGGAGCACATTGCTGACGGTGGTAGTCCTCGCGGGGTTCGCGGTTGGGTTGGCGGGAGGTTCGGCGGTGTTGGCCGCATGTCTCCGGATCCTCCAGCCATGTTTCGGCGGGAGCGCGTACCGGACGCCACCTTGAATTTGAATTTGAATCAAAGGTGGTGGTGCGAAGAATCCTGAGTGGCTCTCATACCATGATACAATCTGAACCGTCTTATAGGATCGTCTCAGGTTGATCGCACGAAAGTGTAGCAGCGGAAGATTGCTAGGCAATGTCGGGTACGGACTCTGTTAGAAGCTGGAGATTTGAATCTCGACAGAAGTTACAAATACAATGCGGTACAAGGGTTTATATAGGAATACAGTGGAATACGGAAAGTCCTAGCTAGCAATGTACTCTGAGGGGGTACATTTCCCTTAGGGTCAATCTAGATGCAGAAAAGAAACCGTGCGACTTGGTAACCGTACGCGGTCCGATAACCGTTTGATTTTTTTTTTTTTTCGCGCTTTTCATTTCGAGTTCTTCCTGCTTGTAACTGTCTTCGATAACTGTCTTGTCGCTTGGTCTTTCGTCCTCGCTGCAGTCATCTTCGCGTTAGGGATTCGTTACTCAGGAATGTTTATTCAACTATTCCACATCGTAATAGAGACAACGCAGCACTTTGCGCGATTCCAGCCTCGTTGTGTGCATGAACCCTCAAGGCCCGCGGTTGGCACTGTTCCAATCAAGTGCCAGACTTGGCCCACTGGAATTTGCCATGTGGCAGATTCTAGTGGAGGGTGCCGTTATCCTCGTAGACTCGGTTTTGCGGCCCTGTTCAACAATCTAAGAGTGAAGTCAGACCCTTGTTTCTGTTGCCATCCATTTCTGCTATTAAAAAAAATGCTCTATAATTACACCTGGGTATTGTGTATCATAATCCCAACCACTAACCATTGGGATAAAATGGCTTGTTTGTGTAGCGGGTGAGTGCGCCCATAACCAGGGCCTATTTTTCAAGAGTAAAACACACTGTTTACACTTGCCAGCGGCCGTTTTTCGGAGGTTACCCTGATTTTGAAAGCCTATTTTGTTTGCTACCCTTTCTGCAAAAGTGTACATATACAGAATACCGTAAACCCCCGTATATAAGACCCGGGGGTATTATGATAATCGCACCCAAAAAAATTGGGGGGTCTATATATATGACATACTTCTTAGAAGATCCGGGTCTGTTCAAATCGACTTTTATAAGACACATGCTTTTGAGCTCAAACAAGTATTTTCGAATTGCTCCGTTTGTAGCACCTCCCAAAGATACTCGGCGTGGTCTCCACGAGTGCCAAACCCACGTCATCACGAACTTTATATGGGTGCCTCCTCCCATTGGCCACAAACACCACTTTGTGTCTGCGCATGTGCGTTTATGGTGGTTCTGTCTCTCCCTGAACATGGAAATGACCATTTTCTATTGCATTTGCTGAAAATCCGGAATTCTCTAGGGTTGGGGGGGGGGGGGTCTTATATTGTCAGGAGCCATTTAGGGGGGTATAACTCGCATATACCCGAATAGAGTACCCCCCCGTATTATAGACCCGGGGGTCTACAACTGGAGGGGTCTTATATATGGGGGTTTACGGGTAGGCTGATTTTGTCTGTATATTGTAGATTTTAGCCTTACCAGACGGGATGCGGAAAAAAAAGCACTGAACCAGAAAGTGATTAACAGTTGAAATTTGCTTTGTATCGCATCTCTAATCCCGAATCTACCCCACATTTCGCGCCTTTCTCAACCCGGCCCTGCTCCCCAAGTGTCAGTTGCCTCTGCCAGCTCGATTCGCTCTATTCCCTTCGCCTCCTCCAGCCTCGTTCATCCCCTTTCTTTCGGCCCTCCCCCCAAGACCCACTCCCCGCGTTTCCTTCGGCTCTCCCAGTCCCAGTTCCCCCACTCCTTTGCCCGAATCGCCCCGTTTCCCTGTAATTCACAACTCCAATTCCCACATTTCCCCGACATCTCCCAGCCCCACTTCCTCCATCTTCCTCGCCTCTCCCCCAACCCCTCGCGATGTTTTCGCCTGTAGTGTAGGGCGCAAGGTTTCGCATCAAGTTAACAAAGCGAATGTAACATTTTAGTAACTTGGGAAATATTCAACCCTTACACAATTAATTACGAAGGGTGTTATGTTACATAATTAAATTTACCGTGATTTTGACAGGGTGCAAAATAAAGTATCCGGGCCGACAAGGTGACGTCAGCAATGGACTCTTATTCTCAAGGATGTTCAAAAACCAATTTTGGGCCCTGCCCATAACCCCCCAGGCCGACGTGCCTATAACCCTTCCCTAGGATCAATCGGGGATCTCCAGTGGACCTCTGACACCCCCCCGCATTGGGATGCCCGAGGTGCACACACCGGGATTCGAACCCGAGACCTTCGCTCTGATACCATGTCAGAATCCTATGTCAAAATAGTGGCATAAGTAGGGACTAGGTTTAAGTGAGGCCTAGGCCCAAAGGGATTGAGCTAGTTTGTGCCAAGGAGGGAGAGTCGAGAGATGAGAGGAGAATGAATGTTCACTATAGCACTAGGGTACATATAGCAAACAAAGAGGTGCACCACCTATAAAGTTAATATCTACACTACAGCTAGAACTACATGCAAGTGTAAGAAAATAATTCTGACATCCTAACCACTAAGCACTGGGATAAAAAGGCTTGTTCGTGAGGTGAGTGCGCCCATAACCCCCCAGGCCGACGTGTTTGTAACCCTTCCTAGGATCAATCGGAGATCTACAGTGGACCTCTGACATTGTGTAGCTTTTTCCTATGAGACCCTCCCGTTTTATCCCTGTATTTTTAGCTATACCTTAGGGTGTTATGTCCCGGAGAATACGGTATATAAACACTATTTTCCAACATGCTGAGCGTGAGTTGCAAGTGTACTAATGTGGCACATCCCCATTATATCCAACGTTGTTGGCAAGAAAAGTTGCCTGCCTGACAAGGTGAAAACGGCAGCTTGTTTGGGGCTAGAAGGGCTTCAGTAGTCAGCACAAAAGGATCTCTTCTTTGTGGAATTGCAAAATCAACTTCAATCCACAATGCTCGAAACCCCACCTGCAAATGGCACAAGAAGTATATTAACTTGTATGTTTCAGGATCAGTTTTTACTCCTAAACACCCTCCTCGCTATAGTCACATTGTGAAGCGATATTTCAAAATAAAAAGCAAATGCACTTTCACCGAAGTCACCTTGGGAATGTCGGTGACAGTAGAGCTGAAGTGCCATAAGCCATCCTCAAGGTGGTGTGTGGGCGGCGAGACGGTGTGCAGGAAGAAAGGGATGGCCTGCATGCACAGCTCAAACTTGCCCTCATACGTGCCCGGTATTTTCGGTATCGGCGCCGTGCTGCCACAGCAGGGGGAGCAAGCACAAGGGGTGGGAGGGTGGGAGAATTGAAACGAGATGGGACAGCAGATGCGGAGAAAGAACGGCGTGGCCCGCACACACTGAGAGGGGGCGGCAGAGAGGGGGGGGGGGGGAGGTGGGCAGGCGCAGCAGAGCAAGAATGGCACAGCAGTGGCAGGTGCAGCAAAGCAAGAATGGCACAGCAGTGGCAGGTGCAGCAGAGCAAGAATGGCACAGCAGTGGCAGGTGCAGCAGAGCAAGAATGGCACAGCAGTGGCAGGTGCAGCAGAGCAAGAATGGCACAGCAGTGGCAGGTGCAGCAGAGCAAGAATGGCACAGGCCGAATTTGCCCACATACGTGCCCGGCACCGATGAAGGGAAGGGCATGGAGGGTGTTGAGTGTCAGAAACACAAATATATATTTATAGATATTTATATATAGATTTATTTATATATTTATATGCATATTACATTGTTCTATCATTGTTTGTACTGTAGAATTGTGTGGATTGCATTATAACTGTTGGTGGTGCTTCCACCACTCACCACCCCTTCGAGCCTCGCCGTACCACGAAGCGGAAGTCTCGCCGTGCGCTGGCAGTGCGGCCAGTCCTGTGAGACACGAGAAGCACAGTGAGAGAAGGGGGAAACGGGAACGGGGAGAAGGGGGAAGGGGGGATTCCGGGTGGGGGGAGAGGGGTTGTGGGGGGGGGGGGGGAGGTGTGCGAGATTTGGGTTCGAGAAGGAAGAGGAGCTGAATGGAGAGAAGTAAAGCAGCTGGTGCCTTAGAAGCCATAGCGTACAACCAAAATGACAAAGCAGTTGAGAAAAATGCGCTCCCATGAAACATGCAGAGAGCTGAACAAGAGCTTGCTCTTTCAGCAGCCATACAAACACCCATTCTCCCTATCCCTTCTCTCCCCTCCTACCTCCTCCCCTCCCTCCCTTCCTCTCCCCCACCTCCCCTTTCCCCTCACACTCCCTCTCCCCATTCCCCTTCTCCTACCTCGCTCTCCCCTCTTCCTCCCTATTGCCCTCCCCTGTTCCCTCCTCCACCTCCTTAAACATCCCCCTCCCCTCCCTCTCACCATCCTCTAACCGCCAATGGCTTCCTGTCTGACGTGGCAACAATGGTGAACGTGGACCAATCAAACCGCCACCTCAGCTTAGGCCAGTCGACAGCTGGCAGCTCGGGAACGCAGCTCCAGGGACGCGCCGGCTGCTCCTGATTGGTCAGCACGCCTCCCTCTATCCCTTTCATCCCCCCTCCTCCTGCCTGAGCCTCTACCATTTTCTGTTCCTCCCGCGCAAACAAGCCCGTGCCCTCTACCCTGTCAAAGTGCTTGGGGCCAGGGGGGGAGTAGCTGCGGGCGTTGGAGGGGCGAGTCCAGGTGAGGGCGGGGCGGGAGGAGGCGGGGAGAGAGGCGCAGGAGGAGTTGACGTGCAGGAGAGAGGCGAGGAAGGCGAGGGTTGCTTGGTTGGCCTGTAGATAGGAGTGGGGGGGTTGAAGTGAGGGGGTGGGAGAGAGGTGTTAGAAACTGAAGAGAATGAATGATGAAACAGTCATACATAAAGATAAGTGCAAATTTTCTACGCCCAAAAGAGCAGCCCAAACCGTAGCCTACAATATGCATACAACATAGAATTTTGACACACTCCCATAGGGGTCGTCACTAGGGATGAGCAAATTCCCGAACGCCTGTTCGGTTCGCCTCGAACATGTTCGAGGCGAACCGAACAGGCATTTTTTATAGCCTAAAATGTTCGGGGCGAACATGTTTGGTGTTCGGCCGAACACGTTCGCCGTTCGACACTGACATTTGGGGCCCCCAAGTCGAACACGAACACGTTCGTGTTCAAAATGGGGGTCCCGCGAACATCAAAGTGTTCGCGTCAAAATAGGCCGCGACCAAATTTAGGTCGCGACCATTTTGAGTTTGAGCTCATTTCGTGAGCTCAAACTCAAACCGCTTTTACAGCTTATCCCTCCCTCACACAACCGCCCTAGCCTTGTTGTTTTAGAAGCTTTCGCACACTGTTACCACTAATCTACACGGAGATTAGATCTAGGCTTTCCAGTAGTGTAGTGTGTTTAGGGTAACTTTAAGGTTGAGTAGCATAGGGATCAAGCAGCGCGTGGTCAAAGCCGTAGGGTTCGGGTCGGGCATTTCAGAAACCTACACGTGCTGGAATACGTTTAGGACCGTGCTACACGACGAAAGCGACCGTTGCTTCGAGGGGGTTTTAGGGTTTTAGGGCCGAGGGCGAAATTATGGCTTCCGGCCATGGTGGATCTTTAGCACGAGGTGCAGGCAGCGCTCAGGGCGGCGCACCAGGTTCCCCACCACGACCTATGGAGGGGCAAGTAGGGGATGGACCTGGAGGAGCCGGCGCTTGCTTCGTGGGGGGGTTTCTTTCCTTAGCGGCGCCGACATCTCGTCACTCTTTCCGTTACGACGGCCCTCGACCCCCTCCTTCGGGGCAGACGCGGCCGGAGAGTGGCAGTGGGGAGGAGGATGAGGAGGAGGAGGGTGAGGGCGAGGAGGATGAGGATGACGAGGGGAGCGGGGATGACAGTGAGGCCGGGTGGGACCCAGAGACGCATGGCGGTGGGGAGGGGGGGGATGATGATGAAGACCATGAGATGGATGGGTTGGAGCCAGAGGAGGTGGAGGAGGAGGAGGTGGGAGAGGGTGGTGGAGGAGCGACGACAGAGGCGGGATCACAGCATGTGCGTGAAGGCGGAGGGAGCGTGGGGGTTAAGGTGGGGAGAAAGGCCGCGTCTATTAAGGCGCCGAGGCCGAGGAAGAGGGCGAACAAGTTGAGGGAGCGTGCGTATCCCTGCACTTTCACTAGGGAGCCCTTGGGCGAGGGTGTGATCGCTCCGGAGTTCCTAGACGAGGACGGAGGGTCCGAGAGTAGTAAGGGGACTGCTTAGGGGGGGAACAGGAAACCGGGGTGGCAAGTACAGATGTTCGGACCGATAAGGACAGATGAGAAGCGTCAGTGCAAGATTTGCACTGACAGGATTTCGTGGAAGCAATCCACAACAACACCCGGCGAGCGGCACTTCGAAAGCTACCACACAGCGCACATGCACGTGTGGTATCACTGTTACCACAACCCGTCCGTTCAGTTGCCAGGGGAGACGTTTCCCCGTGGGGGCTACAAAGGTGTGCCGGATGGCTACGTCGAGCAGTGGCCGCATGCCAAGACTTGGCCGCATCTCGCCAGGAAGAAAGGGAAGGCGGATGGTGGAGGTCAAGGGTCAGGCGGGATCGAGCGGTTCATGACAACCAAGCTTACCTCGGTGGAGCTACGGCAGGCGATCGCCAAGCTGGTGGTCACCTGCGACCTCCCCTTCCGCATCGTCGAGGCCGAGGCTGTGAGTGCCCCATCCAGTGTGGTAGGGGAGAGAGTGCCCCACTCCACACACTACAGCCATGTCTGGTTTACATACTCTCTCTCCTGAACGCATTGTCTCCCCTCACTGCTCTCTCCCTAGCTGTCATCCCTCACTTCCCTACTCTCTCCCTCCCCTGCTGCCATGTGCGGTTTCCATACTCTCTCCCCTGCTGCCATGTCTCCCTCTCCTGCTCTCTCCCACGCTGCCATCTCTCCCTTCCCCGCTCTCTCCCCTGCTGCCATGTCTGGTTTCCCTACTCTATCCCCTGCTGCAATGTATGGTTTCCCTACTCTCTCCCCTGCTGCCATGTCTCCCCCCCAACGCAATACACTAATGCCATGTCTGGTTTACATCCTCTCTCTCCTGCTGCCATGCCTCCCCTCACTGCTCTCTCCCTATGTGCCATATCTCCCTTCCATGCTCTATCCCCTGCTGCCATGTCTCCCTTCCCTGCTTTCTCGCATCGCTGCCATCTCTCCCTTCCCTACTCTCTCCCCTGCGGCCATGTGCGGTTTCCAATGTGCACGCGGTTTCCTGCCCCCCTCGTTGTCTCTACCCTTTCTCCAGTTTCGGGAGCTATTGATCCTGCTAAACCGCCACTGCGCGCAGAAGAACTTCATCCCCTCGCGCTGGACGGTTTCCCGCGACACTGTGGTCTATGCAGCAGCCGCTCTTCAGTCAGCCATTGCGGAGATGCTGGCGAAGGAGGGGGAGTTGGGGTGCAAGGTGTCGATCACCATCGACATGTGGACGGCACCCAACAACAGGGCGTGGATAGTGGTGACAGGTCATTGGATAGACGAGAACTTCCAGCTGCGCACAATGGTGCTTGAGTTCCGCGAGATGCACGGGCGGCAGGCATGGGGGCAAGGAGATGGCGAGGGTGGTTGAGGACACGGTGGTGCAGTGGGTGCTGGAGGGGCGTTGTCTGGGTTTCACCTCAGACAACGCCTCTAGCAACATTGTCCCTTTCAGACGGCTGTTGGAGGAGGGTGGTGGTCAGTGCTTCTTCAACTTGCGCATGCACTTCCGGTAAGAAGGGGAGTGTGCGTGGGCTGGATATGTGGGAGTTTGGGTGTGTCGTTCCCGCGTGAACAACTTGTGGTTGTATGGGCGGGTGGGCCAGTGCGGCTCGACTTGTAGGGTGTGTGGGGTCTGGAATGGGTTTGTGGATCGCTATGGCCATGTGTACTTACACTTCCCCTTCTCTCTGCCATTAATGTTTTGTTCCGTGCGCAGGTGCTTGGCACACGTGATCAACCTTGCAGTGAAGGCAGCTCTCGCTGTGGCTACCATCCGCAAGTTGTTGAAGATTCTGAGAGAGATGGCGTCGTGGATTGGCTTCTCGCCGCAGCGCTCAGGGAAGTTCTTGGGCCTTCAGCGGACCTTGAACGCGCAGGCCAACCCCGCCAAACCGAAGCCGGCGTTGAAGCTGGTGCAGGACAGTCCCACGCGCTGGGGGTCGACCCACGACATGGTCGAGCGAGCCGAGGTTCTGCAGGAACCCATCACTGTCTTCTTTGCCCAGACACAGGTGTGTGTGACAGGTGTTGTGTGAGGGGTTCAATGTGTGGGTATGTCGAGGTGTTGTGTTTTAGCACTTCCATATAACACTGTTGGCCATGCTTGTTGTATGTTATCGGACCCCAACAACCTCAATAACCCCAGTTTCCCTCTTACCACCCGCCAAACCAAACCCTCTACCCGACAGGGCTTGTCGAAGGCTGACAAGAAGAAGGTGGAGAGCCTGCGCCTGACGGACGCAGACTGGGAGTCCCTGCATGTTGTCACGACGTTCCTCAGCCCATTCGCCAAAGTTTGAAAGGCGGCGGAGGGGGCGGCGTACCCTACAGGGGCGATGGTGGTCCCGTACTACAACGGCCTGATCGACGCTATGGAGTCGCGCCTTGCCAAGGGGCCATCGGCTACGCTGAAGCCGATGATTGAGGCGGCGCTGAGTCTCTTGAAGAAGTATGAACTGATGTCCAGCAACGAGTTGTGGATCGCCACCTTCCTGGACCCTTCCATGAAGGCGGCGTGGTTCGACGACGCGCACTGGGAGACGATGCATGCCGAGACCGAGCGGAGGGTGAGGCCGCGTCCCACGTCAGGCGAGGTGATCCAGCTGGTACGCGACCGCGTGGCCGAGTACCAGGCCCGGGCTGCAGCGCTTGCACCCCGGCCGACCCCACTTGCCCCGGTGACGGAGGAGGAGGAGGGGGACGAGGCGGATGTCGACGAAGACGCGCAGTTTCTCCCTAGTCGGAGACGACTTGCGGCGCGTCTGTCAGCGAGCCAGGAGGCGGGGAGGGGCGGGATGGTGCAGGATGACGAGGTTAGCAAGTACTTGTCCGAGAGGGTGCGGTGCGACGTGACAGCGTTGGAGTACTGGCGCACCGCCACCAACATGCAGACGCTGAGGCGCATGGCCCAGGATTATCTCGCCATCCCTGCCACGTCCGCTTCGAGCGAGCGCGTGTTCTCTCTTGGCCGCAACCTCATCTCCTGGAAGCGGCACCGCCTGGCCTCTCAGAGGACACGAGCTGTCATGATTCTCATATCATGGTACAGTTCACCCCCTGGCCAGAGGATAGGCATGGGCCGCCGTGCAAGAGGCGTCGCACCACCAGAGTTTGCCATTGAAGGCGAGGGGGAGGAGGAGGAGGACGAGGAGGAGGAGGAGGAGGAGGAGGAGGAGGAGGAGGAGGAGGAGGAGGAGGAGGAGGAGGAGGAGGAGGAGGAGGAGGGTGTGGGTGCTGGCGACACAGCTGGCGGGGAGGATGCTGTTGTTGGTAGTAGCAGTGGCGCTCAGGCGTAGGATTTTATTTGACATTGACACGTATATTCACGAAACATGATGGTGTGGTAGTAAAGTGTGCGTTTTCAGACACCTACATACCCTGCAAACCCCTATCTATCTTCCCGACCCTCAAAATCCCCTTTCTGATCTCTGTGACTATAACGAATTTTCCCATGGGCGAACTCGAACATGTTCGCCTCGAACATGTTCGGGCTCGCCCGCAGAAACAAATCGTTCGCCCCCTTGGGCGAACGGCGAACACCTGCCTACGCCTAAA